GTAACTGCAGTAACAGCTTCAGGCTTGGCTATGGAGTTAACATTGACAAAATAATCTTTACTATTCAAAATTTCAAGAAGTCCACAGGCCTTCTCTATTTAATAAGGGAGCAAGGGACCTGGCACTGGGAGAACATACTAATGCTAGAATTCAGTACCTTCTCAGTTCAGCATGTTAGGTGCACAAATACTAGTGCCCACTAGATGGCATGCTAGAGCCCAGGTCAGCAACAGAGGGTGCATCTACGCCCACATTTCACTGAGGAGTTGACTAAAGACCAGACAGAAGTGCAGGGTCTAACACAAAGCACTTCACAGAAAGTGCCATAAGTCAGACAGATCCTCCCAGTCCAACAGACATTAGCTGTTGGGTTGGGAGGCAGGAGATTGAGCTCCAGTTTGGAGCAGATCCAGGGAGAGAGGCTGCGTCTCTGCAGCCACTTCCCCTAGCTCTGGTCCCCCTCCCAGCTCCCGTGCTGACTCAGGATGGGAGGGAGGTCTGTTCTGGAGTTTCCCCAGCTGCACTGGAGTGGGGGGGAGGTGTGGATTAGAGTCCCCCACCTTGGGGAGGGGATGGGGGGACGGGATGGAGACTCCAATCCACCCTACCACCCTCTCCAGCACTAGCTGGGCAAACCCTAGAACAAGCTCCCTTTGCTCCCTTCCCCCTCTCCCATTCTGAAAACAGCACCGAGAGCAATGCTGGGCTGCATCAGCTAAGCTCTACTACTAGCAAGTAGAGACAGAAGTTAATGAAGCTGGTTTGGAGGGTTCAGATTCCAGGGATCGGGCCCTTTAAAGTGCTCTGCAGCTGTGCACTTGTGTTTGATCACAACTGTAGAGCACGAAAAATCAGGTGAAAATTGCCATTTCTGTCTGTGCTTTAATCAGCTCCACAGTAAAGCATTACTGTCTACAAGTGCACTGTAAATTAATTAACTCTGCTGTAGGATAGCACTGTCAGGGGCAGAACTACCCTATGGCAGAGTAATTACATGTGAAGGGCAGGTGTAGATGGTGACCAGGGCTGGCATGACAAGGGTACTAAAGAGCAGGGGCTGACTGCCACACGGCTCTGCACTTCAGCACCCTCATGCCCCAGCCAGCCCCTCTGCTGCCCAACACCACCACCCGCAGATCAGGGCTGGCCCCTTGAGCCTACTGCCAGCCTAGGGCTGCTCCACCCCAGCTCAAACTACTGTGGTCCTGGGCACATGTGCAGACTCCAGCATGAACTGTGCCAGAGTTTACTGCTCGACGTTAACTGAACGTGTAGATGCACCCAGAATGTCTGAAACCTTGTGACCTTTGCTGATTCTTTTAGTTTCATTAGACCATTTAGCTTAATTGTAATTAAACCTACCGCTTGATATTTCTCCTCATTCCAGACCACATAGCACAGGCACCAATCACATACCTTAGGTAGGTACTTCTCCTTCTGTGCTTCACTGGCATTCCGCACAAATTGGTTAATACAAAGGTTTGAGTGAGCACCATAACTGAGTCCAATTGCTGCTGAAGCTCGAGACATTTCCTCCATCACCAATACATGGTCCAAATACCCCATACTAGATCCCCCATACTCCGCTAAGAGGAGAAGAAAATTCAATGTCAGCTCAGATTAATTTATTTGTATTTAATAAAAAAAATCTAAAAATTCTCAGCATTGGGCTCAAACTTGTTTGGAGGTCTCAGATGCTTACATTGGGACTTCCACTTTTGACTACCTGCCTGCCTGAGCTGGTTACTCCTGATTTCCCCATTGCTCCTGAATCTCTACTCTTCCATCTTAAAGGCACCGTACATTGCTTGCTCAATAAATTAATTAGTGGCATGTTATACTTATAAAATATACTATAGTTTTAAATTTTAATGGATGTAGAAACATCCAAAGCATCATAATCAAACATTTCCCAACGCTACATCTCTCATTCTCATCCTCCTAATCCCAAAACAGAGTGAGAATTTGCTTGAAGTCCTTTCACATGCATGCAATCAACGTAAGAATTGTGATGGGTAAAAGTGATGGTGACAGACACGTGGGTGTATGGATGCTGTTGCATGGTGCATTTAATGTAATGAGAATGGTGTAACTGTTCAGGTTTGCTTTGGGCTGCACCATATGGGTCACAAGACAGGTTGGTAGAGGTAGCGTTTGTATGTGTGTGCATACACGCACAAGATATTTTTGCAAAGAAATCTTGACCTATTGCCTAGGGTCAAGCATTTTTGGAACCAAGGGGAGGGTATTAGACGTAGCTCTGGCCTCCTGTTATCGCAATACCTCCAGGCCTGGTGCCATTTCCCTGTGGAGTGAAAACAAGGCTTTTAAAGGCCAAACAAGGTTCCCGTCAGCATTTCTGGTACCAGGAGAGGGTGTTGGAGCTTGCTTCAGCTTCCCTGAGAGACAGTCTGGTATTGCAGTACCTCCAGTGCTGGTCTGATATTGCAGTTCCTCTAGGCCTAGTGCTTGTTCCCTCCTGGAGGGAGCAACTTCCTGGGTTTTGTTCGTTTGTTTAAGGGCCACAAAAAAAAGTTCCCATTAGCACGTTTGCCCAATATGGGCTGTATGTTTTATAGTCACTCTCAGTGTTGGCTGTATTTACAAATGATTTTTTCACCTCATCCCCTCAAAACAATTTTAAATTACACTGAAACAGGAACTCTGGATGAACATATTGTCTCCATCATGGGCTTATAATATCTTGGGTGAGTGATTTGTGATAGAACAAATGAGTAGCTGACTAGCTCAGTTGGTTAGAGTGATATGCTAATAACACCAAGGTCACAGCTTCAATCCCCCTTTGGGATGCAAGACCTTTTATGCCTCAGGCAAGGAGTTAGACTAAGTGACTCTTGTGGTCCCTACTTCTCTAGGATGTCTATGAACCTATATGGGAAGCATTTTGCATGGAGAATCATTCTGTTGGTGTAAAAGGTGAGAACTGACTTACTGGGAGCTGTGATTCCCAGAACTCCAAGTTCTCCAAGTTTCTTCCAAAACTCCTACAAATACAGAACACAGCAATCAATATGATCTATCTCAGACAGAGAACAAGGACAGGACTTTGTATGCCCATCTCCTCAAACATACTAAATTACTTTCCCTGAATAAACACTCCCCTTTCTTGTGGAGTGGCAGCTGCCACTTCACAGTTTTGACTTGGAGGCTGCAAAGATTTACACATGTATAGCTTCACATGTGTGCCACTGGGTTCAATCAAAACTATTCACAGGCATTATGCTTACAGTCTTAATCTCTGCAGGCTCAGGGCCAAAGGGTTAATTTATTTCCCAATTTAATTCCAATGTTGACTCAATCTCAACTGATAGCCCCCTCAGAAAACTGCTTTTTTGCCTTGGGGCACAAGCTGCCTCTTGCCAAAGATGGCATCAGACTTTGCAAAACTGTATTCCTCATATTAGGGGAGTTAATGGCCTTTGGACTTGGATCCTCACAAGGATTTTGCTCTAGATGATGCACATCAATTTTATGCAAGATCTGGATGACATCTACTGCAATGGGCTATATTTTTATAAGTTACATAAGGCTGGAAGTTATTTATTGAGAACATCGACAGCAGAGTTTTGCAAGGCTCTGGCAGGTATTTTAAAGTGTTTAAGTCTTGCGAAACTTATGCACTCTAACACAGGGGCGGGCCAGTAAGCTCCATAAATTAAAGCAGGTCTGGTTCACAGAACTTAACAGCTTCTGTTAGGCAGACATGAAAAGTTCCAACCTGAAACAGCAGCTTATACAATGGTGTTTGCACAGAGTATTTTATGTAAAAAAATTTAATAAAAAAGACTGTGCATGAGAAAAGTTCCTTGCCTGTTGTGGCAGACTGCTTTGCTTCAAATGTATCATATCTCTAGACAAGAGACAACCTAGAACAAGCACCCTGATAAGAACTGCAGCAGGCAGGGAAGAGACATTACCGTCAGTCCTCTACCACTCTCTTTTTATTAATTTCTGGTTAGATATTCCCCAAGCTAGTAGGAATTCCATCGCTTCCTTGAACCCTGTATATTTCTCATTTAAACTCCTTCATGAAATTTTAATCTTGAGGGTAAAACAGCTAACAAGTATTCATGACTGGGCTTATTTAGCCTAGAGAAGAGGAGACCGAGAGGAGACTTAATAGCAGTCTTCAACTACCTGAACGGGGGTTTGAAAGAGGATAGAGCTAGACTATTCTCAGTGGTGGCAGATGACAGAACAAGGAGCAATGGTCTCAAGTTGCAGCAAGGGAAGTTTAGGTTGGATATTAAGAAGAACTTTCTCACTAGGATGGTAGTAAAACACTGCAACAGGTTACCCAGAGAGGTGGTGGGAGCTCCATCCTTGGGGGTTTTCATAGACAAAGCCTTGGCTGGTATGCTCCAGTTGGGGCTGGTCCTGCTTTGAGCAGGCGGTTGGAGTAGATGACCTCCTGAGATCCCTTCCAACCTTTACTTCCTATGATTTTATGTGGCATGATCAGGCTCCTTCCTCTGGAGGCAGGCACAATGCAGAGCAAAAAGACCTTCAATACACACATCAAGGGCTTACCCGCATGCCCTTGAACTCATTCTCCTGGTCAATTAGTTGGGCCTTTGGAGCCAAATGCTCCTGGCAGAACTTGATCATGGTTTGTCTAAGCTGTGGAAGAAAGGAAGGAGGGGGAAAAATACACATCAGGATATGGTTCCTTTTCTTCCCTGAATATGCCCAACATGCTCTCACTGACCACGTCCTAGGCTCCCAATATTCAAAGCTAGAAAGTAAAACCAGACAGCTTTGAGTGTCAGATAATAAAAAAGAGACTCCCCAAACAATGTTTATAATCTTCTAACACTGAAAGACTGTAATCTTTAAGAGGGGATAGCAATAGGGTGGGAAGCGAGTCTTACAGTAACATTAGAATGGGGAAATGGTAACAGTGTTTTAGAGATTCTGTAGTTAGACAGTTTCTAATACACTAATCCCTTTATCCATTTTTCTGTCTGGTACTTTCACAGCCAATGGACAGAGATGATGAAAGTCTTTCCATCAAGAAGATGCTTCTGGATACACTTTTATATATATAAAAATTTGTCAAAGCATATCTATGAAACACATCATTTGATCAGATGCTTAAGAAGCCAGTAACCACACCAGAGAAAGCAATCAGAAATATACATTTTATATCTTACATATTCTGAGCAATTCAAATACATTTAAAACAAATAAGCTACCATGCAGATGCTACAATTAAAGGGTCAATAAACATCACTTCTAACGGTAATTGGTTGTTTTCAAACACTTACCCACTTAGAAGCAGGTTATAGCAACAAATTTACCACACAGGCAGCTAAATCAATTATCAGGGGAAAAAAGTCATTAGCAAGCTGGGGGCGCTATTTTAAACCAGGAACTGAAACACTCCTAGTAATCTAGTAACCTCATCTCGGCAGGCTGTCAAGCTTTGGATGCTTTTACTGCTTTATTTTATCTTAGGTCAATACTTCCCAATGTTTTCCTCAGCATGAACCCCTTGCTCCCAACCCACAGTCCCCCACCATAGTGCTCGAACCCCAGCTGCCACCCATTGGAGGTGGCAACTGCTGCAATGCGAGTACAGTGCAGAGTCCAGCTCTACGCCCTGGCCCCCAAGGCCAGAGTGGATGCAGGCTGCCTGCTGTGGGCTCAGGGCTCCCTGTCCTGCTGTCCTCACCCTGAGAGCTTCTGCGGACCAGTGGGCGAGACCTGTCCCCCCTTGCCCACCTAGCAGCAGTGGCATGGAGTTGCACCCCCCTCTGCTGATAGGCAGGCTGGGGGCACCCTGGCAGGGAGGCACAGCTGATGAGGTAATAGTGGCACCAAGCCTCCCCACCCCACTCTACTGCAGAGTCCCCCGGGTGGGAAATGGCTGCAGGGAGAGAAGTCCCGAACCCACATCCGCCCCAGCCCTGTGCACAAGTCTGGGGTGCACATGCCCCTCCATGCCTCCCTTCCCCAGGACTGACTCTGCCACTGCGCACACCTCTCCCTCCAGCCACCCCTGGCTCTATCCTGCTCCCTTAGCTGGGCCCTGTATTCCCAGCCCAACTCAGGGCCCCAGGCACCAGCCCTGCTGGGCAGCACCCCAGCCCCACCCCACTCCCTCACCATGGGGGCCTCAATCTGCCCTCCCCACCCCATAGACTTATCTGCAGGGAGCTGTGGGACCTGCTCCCTACACTGCCTGGCTGTCACATGCATGTGTGCAGATGCACATGGCACCCCCTGCCTGATTGCCCTTCTTCCACTCCCCCCAGCTCCAAGCAGCCCCTTGCAGTCTGCAATTTTGACAGCGTGCAAGGGGAACATGCCATTTCCTGCTTTTTTCTCCTCTAAAAGGAGAAAATCTGTGATCCCTGCAACCCCATTTTTTTTTAATCACTGCAACCCCAAATGGAGTCGTGACCCCAAAGGCTGGGAACTGCTAGCCCATGTTTGCTTCCGGCGTTTGGTCCTTTGCCTATTCCCACAGGGAACACCTGGACTATTTACTTATCTTTCCTTTTTATACACCCAGTGCAGGACTCCAGGCAGCCTTGGGGCTCCAACCCTGAGCACGGGGGCAGATGGAGAACAGTGCAGCAGTAACAGGAGAGAGTGACCCTTTATTAGTTCTGCACAGGCTTTAGACCAAGGAAACCTCAAGACTGGGAAAACGCAAGGCTGCGACGCCACCTCCTGGTGCCAGCACCAAAGCACTGGTTAAACTGGAGCTCCACCGCGAGAGGCCGGGGCGACCTGTGAACTCCGAGGCGCAGCCTTGGCCGGGCCCTGTCCCGTCCCAGCGGGTGGAGGCGGCCAACGGCCGCGCCCCGCGCGCCCACCGGCCCCCCCCCCCAGCCGGCCTGGCTGGCCAGCAGCCCACTGGATCTTTCTCGCTCTCGCCGGCTTCCTACAAGGGACGCCCATCCGCGAGGCAGGCTCAGGGCGGCGCCGGCGCCAGCCCACTGCTGC